CAAAACAAAACAAAATAAACAAAAAAATCTAAACACAAACATTTCCAAGAGTGAGGTATTTTGTAACCTTCAAAGGCTCCCCATTGCTGAGAAGACAAGGTTCTGGTTCCTGGTTCTCTACCATCGCACCGAAATTCCTTTTCTTAGCTAATTTTCTATTCACTCTTCTCCAGCATTGTTCTTAATATTTTATCCACTTTTATCGTCTTTATGTTGTTTTTTTCTCTTGCCCGGAATTCCTTCCATGGCACTGACTTTTCCCCCCATAAAAACAAATCCTACTCCTCTTTGTGAGAACTAAGACCACACCTATCACATTGCTTAAGTATCAGGATTGAGAACTGAGAACATCTGTGTCAATAAAGACAAGTATTTATTCCAGGAAGATTTTTAAACCAATAAATAACTTCACTGTTTGCTTCAGGATATTCCTGCGTATCAATTTATTTGAACAAATAGTTTGCTCAGCTGGGCAGAGAGTTCTCATAGGACAATGGATTGCTTAACTGGGCAAATAACTTGCTTGTCAAACAAACAGTTTGCTTATCAAAACTTGCTTCAAGGTGCTCACCATGCTGTGTCCACCAATCTTCAGCAATTATGTCATGTTTTTTGTCCCAATCCCAGTCAGGTACCTACTCTGAAAAACCTCATTTAAACCACTAAGCTTCAGGGGCTTAGATCCTAAACCTTATAAATATCTTTGATCTCTCCTTGTGAGAGACAACTAAGGCTCCATCAAGGTGCTGTCTGTTTCATAAACTTAGCTTTGCTTATTTAAGGTTATTATGGTGGTGGTGGTGTTTTTAAATCCACTGTCAGCAATATCATATTATTAGAATTCTTTCAGAGGCAAAAAGTAGAAAACTCAACTCAAATTCCTTTAAAACCAAAAAGGGAATATTTTGGCTCAGGTAACTGAAGGTCCACAGAAAAAGTGAGAACTTAATGGAGAGGTTTAAACATTGTCGCTGGAATTCAGCTCTGCTCTCTCAGATTCACCCCCAGGTGGCTTCTTCCCAGGTTAGCTTTCTAATTGTAGACCATGTTGTTTGCAACTGGCTCCAGGCTTACCTCCTCTCTAAGTCGGATTCCCCCAGAAGCAGAACTTGAGAAAAAGATTCAAATCCAAGTAATTTATCAGAGGTGCAAGATATGTCAGTAGGAAAGTGGGGGAAGCAGGGGAGGGAAGGTAAAGAAGCCAATAAGGAGTGTGTTATAAATCAGCTGCCACTGTGGGCAACTGAAGCTTGACCCTGAAGGGAGACTTTGGGCAACAGTATAAAACGTATGTCTCAAAGTTATACCACCTAAAGGGCCAGGAAGATTGGACACTTGCATACCAACTACTTCGTCATTCTTTGTGGGAAGCATGTCCAGGCTGATGTACCTGGTTAGAGCAGACCTACATGGCTTTAGTGAATGTCCCTAGGCAGCAACCGTATGCAAACATCCACCACTAGGAGTTGGCAGGCACGCGGTGAGTCAGAGGCCCCGGGGATATGGGCCGTGCTCCTGAAATAACTGCTACTCTGACCCCAAACCTTGTACGAAAGTAAAATTATTTTTCTTAGGACCAGATTAAGTCACATGCCTTGAGAGAATCAATCACTGCAAAAACTAGGGGCATAGTGATGTCAGCTATAAATGGCAGAGTAAGTACTTGCAAAAGTCCTATCTTTCATAAAAGCAGTGAGAACACTGGCAGAAATCGTCACTGGCAACGTTTTGAGAACTTTGGATATTAACTAAAAGTTTTCAGTCATCTGGGGAGTGTTTATTCAGAAAAACATCTCCATATTAATAAGAAAAATAAGATTTATCATTTTTAACTTATCCTATTTCCCTTCCTCTGAGTTCAACAGCAACCTAGAAAACTAACCCTCCACAATCACTGGGAGAGCCCGCAGTCTGGAAACCACTGGAGGGGAAAGAATGAGACTGAAGCTCATTCAAGGCCATCCCAGAGAATTGTTATTATTTTACCTATTACACATAAAGTTAAACATGGGGTTACTGTGTGACCCAGGGATTCCACTCATAGTATATACCCAAGACGATTGTTACCATGAAAACTTACACATGAATGTTCATAGCACCATTAGTCATAATAGTCAAATAGTGGAAACAACCCAAACGTCCAAAAACTGATGAATGAATGAACAAAATGTGGTATAATCATACAGTGGAATATTATTCAGCCATAAAAAGGAATGAAATTCTGATTCATACTGCAACATGATAAACCTTGAAAACAATATACTAAGTAAAGGAAGACATACATAAAAGGCTACATGTTGTATGATTCCATTTGTATGAAATGTCCACACAGGAAGATCCATGGAGACAGAAAGTAGATTAGTGGTTGAAAAGGGCTGATGGTTGGTGGGAATGACAGCTATGACTGTTAATGGGTACAGGGTTTCTTTTGGGGATGATAAAATTGTTCTGGAAGTAGATATTGGTGATGGTCGCACAATTCTGTAAATAAGCTGAAGATCAATGAACTACACACTTTAAAAGAGTGAAATGTTTTTTTGAGTTTTTCTTTTTTTTTTAAATTTTGTTGAGGTCATATTGGCTTTTAACATTGTGTAAATTTCAGGTATTTGTTATTATATTTCATTTTCTGTATAGACTGCATCATGTTCACCACCAATAGTCTAGTTTTTATCTGTCACCAGACATATGTGCCCCTTTACCCCTTTTGCTCTCCCCCCACCCCTATTTCTCAGGTGACTGCTAATCTATTCTCCTTATCTATGTGTTTGTTTATCTTCCACATGTGAGTGCAATTTTACTGTATTTGTCTTTCTCTGTCTGACTTATTTCACTTAGCATAATATACCCTCAAGGTCCATCCATGTTGTCATAAATGACACAGTTCTGTCTTTTTTCTGGCTGAGTAGTATTCCGTTGTACATAGGTACCACATCTTCTTTACCCATTCATCTGTTGATGGGCACTTGGGTTGCTTCCAATTCTTGGCTATTGTGAATGTGCTTCATTGAAAATATAGGTGCATAAATCGTTTTAAATTGTAGATTTCATATTTAAAAGAGTGAATTTTATGCTATGTATGTTATTTCTCAATTTTTATGCTCTGTTTGGTCAAGCCTGGGTTAAATCCCCACTCCTGTGGGATAAGGGAAGTCTCAACATGAGCTGACAGTGGGATGCTTACGAAGGAAATTCAAAGTGCTGTTTCCAGAAGAAGGGGTGGATGGGTGCTGAGGTAGGAAAAACAAGAGATCCTTTTCTACTCCGGCCATCTTATCAAGGCTAGTCCCACAAACCCTTTATTCAGAGCCCTTTGCCCTTTGTCAGTGCTGCCAGTTCTGTTGGTGCTTTTATTTAAATGACTGCTTTCCTGCCACAAAGCTGTCAGATGCTTTAATGTTTCTTTTCAGTCTTGCACGTGTCAGGGCCGTACTGGTTTCTTATCTCTGCCAGCTCTCTGTGCACCAAATCACCTCTTTATCTCTCTAACGCCCAAATAATAGCAGCAGTAATGAAGAGCCCAGTTTCTCATTTCTGAAAACCTTCCAAACACTAATTTCTCCCAAAATTCTTATGCGATTAATTAGTGTAACTGTGCCCTGGGTGGTGGAGGGGAGTTGCAGTAGACCTCCAAAGCCCATTTCCTCCTAGATGCTCAGCCAACTCCACCCTGGCTACATTAGCACAGACAGGACAAGTAGTCACGTCCCCTGACCCTCCCTATCATGTATCTTTCAGTAGGAAGTAACTGAGCATGTGGCCATGGATGTTAAAAGAGAAAAAATTAGCTAGCAAAAAATCAAACGTGTTTCTTCAAAATGTAAGCATAAAATGGCTGGTCAATTTACTGAGTTAATGAATTTGTGTACCCCTACATATTGTCTCTGACAGAAATCTTTTTGTTACAAGACTACCTGATTTTCAGGGTTAAGTTTCTTCCTGTTTTTTCATTATGTTGTTCCTGCAAATATTAAATATTTCAACAACCAACTTGAAGATCACTTCCAAAAAGATATTGACTGTTGTTTTTGTTTTTGTGTTAGCTTGGAAAGATGGCTTATCATAGGCTTATATAACCCAGTGTCTCCTTACCAGTTATAAACAAGCATACATGATAAACATAAGCATTTTACATTTATTAAATTTGTGAATGATTTTGCTGACCCCTGCCTCCTCTGAAGCAACAAGTTCTCAGGTTTTGGTTATCTTTGTCTGACCGACTCAGTTTAGCAAAGCTAGGGGACAGTCAGTGTGAATCTAAGGAGTCTTTCCCAAAGATCTTTCCCAACATGCTGGGTTATATTCACTCAGATTTTCCTCAATTCACTTTTTGTCAGAAACTCAGAGAACATAGGAAAACACCATGAGCTTGTTTTCAGCCACTCTCTTCCACAAGTTTGAGATTCTTCTCTTTCCTCACAGAAGGAATGGAGTTCCAGTTCAAAGATACTTCTCTTCAGTTTTCTGTATTTCTTCCAAGACTGAATTATATTTTATTTTATTATTATTTTCTTTTTCCTGTGAGGGAGATCAGCCCTGAGCTAACATTCGTGCTAATCCTCCTCTTTTTGCCGAGGGAGACAGGCTCTGAGCTAACATCTATTGCCCATCCTCCTCCTTTTTTTTTTTCTTCCCCAAAGCCCCAGTAGATAGTTGTATGTCATAGCTGCACATCCTTCTAGTTGCTGTATGTGGGACGCGGCCTCAGCATGGCCGGAGAAGCCGTGCGTGGGTGCGCGGAACCCGGGCCGCCAGCAGCGGAGCGCGTGCACTTAACCACTAAGCCACCGGGCCAGCCCCAAGACTGAATTATAAAAAGCATCCATAAATCTGCTTTTCAGGTCTCCTTTGCAATCCCAGTTCCCTCCTTTATAATTATTTACCCAAAGTTTTAAAGTTAGGAGTTATTTAAATTCTGAAAGAAAGCAAGAAAGCTCAAAATTCCATTAACACTGGAAAAACGGCTTCATGAAAACTGAGGGAAATAGATATGGGACAAGAGTAAGGATAATAGTTTTTAAAAGCAAGTAATGGTTAAATATATGAAAATATATTTTATTACTAAAAAAAATCAGATAGTATGCAGGATCATTTTTCAAATATATCCTAAGTAACCAGTTATCTCCAAATGTTCAATTTGTAGGTGCCTCATACTGTTGAAAAGGAACACAATCATGACTGGTAATAGGAGCTTGGAAATTATGTAGTTAAGTAATTATCATCTGTTGGGTATAATTTTCTAAAATTTCTCTGTTAATTCATATTGTTCTTGTCCAGAGAGTGAAATTTTTATTTCAAAAGAATTAAAAAAAAAAAAAAAAAACCTGTTGTCTCTAAAGTTGATCTTTTCCTTCAATGCTTAAAAAAGAAAGTAGAAAACCAAATCTACACGTTCTAAATGGATCTGAAGTGAAATTTTTCTTTTCTTTTTAGCAAATATGGCTTAAAATGTAATAATTTAGCAAAGAATAGGCCAAATGTGCTTCCTGAAACCAATTTTCACTGTGCTGTTGAAAACGTGAGATAGTGAGATTTTATTTTTTGAGTAGATATTGGGAAATCAGGCTGTGCATGGAAAAAGATGGAGGCAACGGTACTGGTATCAGAGCATAAATAAAACTTGTGCCTGGATCATCTGTTTTCTCCTTGGTTTGTACTCACTCGCAAGATCTTGGAAGCACAAAAAGTGCTTAGTCCCAAACACAAACAGCCAAAGATTGATTTTGGAAACAGACATAGAGCAAAGAATTGATGGATGGTGGAGAAGGAGGCTGATACTGAGGCATACACATAAGGTTTCTGAGTGTGAATGCTTGTTTATTTTTCAGTCAGACAATGAATTGGAAAGTGAATTTTTGAGAGCATTAGAGAAGAGGCTGAGACTTTGTACATATCTCTCTGCTGGCACCTTATCCTACAATGGTGCTGTCCACAAGTCAAATGGTAATTAGATATGATTTGATTTATGTTTCAAAATCAAATCAGATACATTGTAGGAAAAGTACTGCCTGAATACTTGCTTGATTTTTAAGCTCAACAACATGACTGTCAATGCTATTTCACTTAAAAAGAAAAAAAATGATGATTAAACTTGATGTTTGCATATTTTGAGAATAAATATACTCCACTCTAGAAAATACAGTCAGGCCAAGATGCCGTAAATACACACAGATTGCCACAATCTTATCATGGAATCTATTTGGATTTGAATTTACAGACCCCATAGAATGCAGAAGAATTAAGCTCATTAAATTTAGAGGAGCCGAGTGTAAACATCTCAAGCACTTGACCTTCTAATGTCAGCTCATTTTTTCAGTCATTTTGATTCTTCATGATATCCTGCTTTTAAATCTTGCCTCCTTGATCTGTTCAAGAATCTTGCCTCCTGTTACTATCCCTATGTCTATTTTCACTTATCCAGATGCTACTCACTTTTCAAGCTACAGCTAAAAAATTATATTACCCATAAAAATTTTTCTGACCACATATTCATTTATCATTTCTCATGAATTTCTACAGCCTTCATTTTTTGTACCACTCATCAAACACATATGTATTTTTAGTGTATGCAATCAAATTGTCTCACTGTAACTTTGACCATCCAAAATTCAGCTCAGCGATTCTAATTAGTATTGAAATCTAGTGAAAGATAAAAACGTTTTTTGAAGGGAATTAGAAGTTTCAGATCATTGGAACCACTGTGCCAATCTTTGGATGGTGCCTCAGTTTCCCAGGTTTGATCAGACTCCGAAAGAATGAGGAGTACCCTCTTTGAAGAAATGTTATGAAGCAAAAATTTTGCAGTAACTTCCCATTGCCTATAAAATATATCCAGACCCCTCGACATGTAGCATGGCATTCAAGGACCAGAAAGAAGTCCATGGTGGCTGGGGCTGGGTGAGTGAGGGAAAGAGTGGCAGAAGATAAGGCCAGAGAGTCAGCACAGGACCAGGTTGTGTAGGACTTTGTCAGCTAATGGAAGGATGTTGTCTCTTCCTGAGTAAGATAAGCCAATGAAGCGATTTGGGGAGAGAAGTGGCAAAATATAACTTATATTTAGAAGCCTCCAAGATTTTATTTGGCCAGATTAAGTTGAAGGATTAATTGCCACTTGCAAAGTCAGGGAAGATTGTGGAAAAATAGTTTGGGTAGATAGGAACAAGGAATGAGGAATTCAGTCTCAAGGTTTGAAAGGCATGTTAGATATCTAAGTGGAGATATTATGTAGGCCATAAGTGTGTGGAGTTCAGTAGAGAGGGCCAAGTGGAGAAGTAAATTTTAGAGTAGATGTAAATTTGGATGGTGTTAAAAATGATGAGCCTGAATGAGATTACATAAGGAGGGAGCATAGAGAGAGAAGACATCCAAGGACTGAGTCCTGAATTATTTCCATAATGAGTGGTTAGGGAGATGAGAAGGACTCAGCAAGGAATCGGAGTCTAAGAAGGGCCTCCAGTAAGGCAGAAGGAAATATAAGGGAAAATGATGATCCAGAAGCTAAGTAAAGAAAGTCTTTTAAGAATAGTGGGAGAAAAGTTGGAAAACATTGCCTTCAAGAGAGATTAGAAGTAGAGGAAGTTGAGACAGGGAGTATAGACAGCTATGTCAGGAGTTTTGCTTTCGAGGGGAAAAGAAAAATGGGGCTGTAGCTGGAGCGGGCAGTGGAATTAAGGAAAATATTTTTTTTATATTGGAATCTTCTGAAACAAGTTAGAATGTTGTTGGAAATGATGCAATAGAGAAGGAAAAAGTGATGCAGAAGCTGAAGCAATATCCTTGAGGAGGTAAAAGGGGAGAAATATTGAGCACAAGAGAGGAATTGGCATTAGCATGGGAAATACCTCCTTCAGAGGTAAGATAGGGTATAGAGGTTGGGTAAAGTACACAGCTACAGATGAAGGTACACTAGTAGATAAGTGGTGGGAATGCCTAAAAATTCTCTTCTGATTGCTTCTACCTTTCAAGGAAATATGTTACAGTTATGTCAATTATGCGCAAGGAGAGGAAAGTAGGTTTTGAAGGTTTGAGGAGAAAAGAATACAGTGGAATTTATTTATCTAGCTGAGTAAAGAAATGAATAGATTACAGAAGCAGTTTTCAAATTGTGATTAGGGGGCTCCTGGAGGCCCCAAGAGCTGTTAAGTGGATCTGAGAGGTCAGAACTATTTTCATCATAATGCTAAAATGTTATTTACTTTTTCCACTCTCATTCTCTTATGACCATACATTGGAATATTTCAAAGACTACATGACATGTAGTATTGAAACAGATCAGTGCAGAAGCAGACATGGGAATCCAGCTGTCTTCTATTAAGCCAGACATTGCAGAGATTTGAAAAATATAAAATGATACTCTTCTCATCAATTTTTTTTTGCTTTTGCAAAATAATGTTATTACTCATAAAATATTTATGTTAGCATAATGAACTTATTTTTTAACTATATTAAGAAATGTTTTAAACTTTCTCTGCTTTAATTTCTAATCTGACAAATATTGACGGATATAACCCACATAAACAGAAATTCTTAATTTTATAATTTTTAGAAGTAGAAAAGAGTCTTGAGACAGAAAATTTTGAAAACTGTTGAACCAGGGAATTCTGGTTTGATTCCTGCACAGCACTAAGGGTACTGCATTTAAAGATTAGTGATTATGCATTTAAAATAAAGCCAGAAAAACAATCCTAAAATTTGTATGGAACCACAAAAGACTGAAATGGCCAAAACAATCTTGAGAAAGAAAAGCAAATAGAGAACCTACAAATAACCTGCACATATATGGTCAATTAATTTACAAGAAAGAAAACAAGAATATACCATGGGGGAAAATGATAGTCTCTTCAATAAATGGTGTTGGGAAAACTGGGCAGATATGCAAAAAGAATGAAACTGGACCCCTATCTTATACCATACACAAAAATTAACTCAAAGTGGATTAAAGAATTGAATATAAGACCTGAAACTATAAAACTCCTAGAAGAAAACGTAGATGGTAAACTCCTTGACTTTGATCTTGGCAATGATTTTTTGGATTTGACACCAAAAGCAAAGACAACAAAAGGAAAATAAACAAGCGTGACTACATGAAACTAAAAAGCTTCTGCACAGGAAAAAAAACAAAATAAAATGAAAAGGCAACCTACAGAATGAGAGAAAATATTTGCAAATCATATATCTGATAAGGGGTTAATATCCAAAGTACATAAAGAACTCAATAGCAAAAACCCCAAACAATTCAATTAAAAAAGGGGCAAAGGAACTGAATAGGCATTTTTCCAAAGAAGATACATGAATGGCCAACAGGTACCTGAAAATTTGCTCAGTATCACTGATCATCAGGGAAATGCAAATAAAAACACAAGGTGAAGTGAGATATAAACTCACATCTGTTAGAATTGCTATCATCAAAAAGAAAATGATAAAAAGTGTTAGAGAGAATGTGGAGAAAAGTAAACCCTTGTACACTGTTGGTGGGAATGTAAGTTGATGCAGCCACTATGGAAAACAGTATGGAGGTTCCTCAAAAAACTAAAAACAGAACTACCATGTGATCCAGCAATTCCACTTCACTTGCTATATGTCTGAAGGGGATGAAATCACTATCTTGAAGAAATATCTGCACCCCCATATTCATTGCAGCATTATTTACCATAGCCAAGACATGGAAATATCCTAAGTGTCTATCGACGGATGAATGAATAAAGAAAATGTGGTATATATATGCTATGGAATATTATTCAGCCATAAAAAGAAGGAAGTTCTGCCACTTGCAGTAACACGGATGAACTTTGAGAGCATTATGCTGAAATAAGTCAGACAGAAAAAGACAAATGCTGTATGGTTTCACTTATATGTGAAATCTAAAAAAACTGAACTCATAGAAACAGAGAATAAATTGGTGGTTGCCAGAGGCAGGGGGAGGGCAGAGTTGGGAAGGGGGGAGATGGGTGAAGGTGATCAAAAGGCACAAACTTCCAGCTATAAGATAAATAAGTTCTAGGGATGTAATGTACAGCACGATGCCTGTGGTTGACAATACTGTATTGTATGTTTCAAAGCTGCTAAGAGAGTAGATCTTAAAGGATCTCATCACAAGAAAAATAATTATAACTATGTGAGGTGATGGATGTTAACTAAACTGATTGTGGTAATCATTTTGCAATATATACATATACCAAATCATTATGTTGTACACCTTAAACTAATACAAAGTTATATGTCAATTATATCTCAAAACTGGGAAAAATAAAATAAAGCCAGTCAATATTTTTACGTTTTCCTTTCATCAAATTCAGATGCCTTGGCACTGGCACAATGTAGCTGGAACTCTGAACATATCCAGGCTTAGGCTTTGCCAAGCAACTACATCAGTGAGAGAGGGAACAAGGTGATTTGGCTGGACAGTGGAATTGAAGCTGGGTAAGGAGGGAGGAAGAAGGTGGGGGTCAATGGATTGTGTTTAGATAGGGTTGAAAAATTGTTGTGAGTCTGGAGTAGAGGCAGTAGGTGAGAAGGATAGGAGGTGGTGGTTGGAGAATGTGATGCTTGAAATAGCCCTTAGGAAAGCAAGCAGTTAGTGATTCAAGTTCAGTGGTTGCTGAATAGAGAGTGGAGGATGAGGTCACTGGAGGAGAGCAGGTTATTGAGACCGTTGAGAACCAAGATACTGATCTCTAAGGAAGGAGAGGGGGATATGAGGGGGTAAGTGCTAAGCTCTTGAAGGAATCCAGTGTCTGGTCCCCAGAGGGTCAAGGCTATTCTATTGGGGATTTCAGAACCCCACCGACAGAGAGAACCAGGAAGGCCCACCTTTGGTGAGGCAGATGGGTTATAGCCTCCCCCCAAGCTCCGTAATACCACCTTGGGAAATCCTCTCAACCTCCCTAATCCTCAGTTTTCTTACTATGAATGGGGTAAATTTGTACCTACCTATAAGCTGGTTATAAAAATAGAGACAACACATATAAAAAACTTACTATAACGCTTGACACCTAGTAAGCACTCAAAATACATTACCCTTTATCATTATGATTATCTTTCTGGAAAAATTGTACTCTCTTTGAGGAAAGACATCCTGTTTCAATCATGTTGGTATCCCCCTGTGCAACTAGCATAGTATTACAAATGTTTGTTAAATTGAATTTGTATGACTCACTCATTTTCTACTTCAATCAGCATTTTTCTAGAAAATGGCAGTAAATGAGACATTTTAAGATATACCTTCACTCTTAGGACACTCAATCAGTACCCAGCAGCAGGCCAAGAAATGCTTGGTTAGTTGCCTGAAAACATTAATCTCCGCCTATGCTTTGGAGTGTCCGTAAAACAAGGATAATGATATAGTACATGTTCACAAATGGTTTTTGAGTCTGTAGATGAATGTAGCACTAGAATTAAATTGTTGCAAGATTTAAACCAGATTCTGTTTAATGCAAGACGCCCCATAAACTGTTGTTTTTCTATTTAAGCCCAAAGCAAACCTATAGTTTTAACCCTGGAATTGATATTTTAGCCAAGGAATTTTATATTTGGGTTTACAATTGTGTCTTGTACCATAATATTTTTAACTTTTCCATGATTCACTGTAATATGTAATTAAAGGGTGCAAATGTTATTTGAAAATGAAAAACTAAAACTGTACTTTCGGCTGAATCCAGTGCCTTGCTATTTTTTACCAGCATCTTTGCAATCCCTAAATTCTTTTTGAAATATGAAGATTAATTTTGGCCAACGTCTCAGTCTGCTGTTGCTAAGATCAGACCTCTCTAAGTGATTAAAGATGGGACAGTACGGAGAAGAAAGGAAGTTAATAATAATAATTGTCACAGCAGCATATATTTATTGAATGTTTACTGTGCGCAATTTACATTATTTCTTTTTATTTTTTTCTTTTCTTTTGCTTTCTTTCTTTTTTTTTGCTGAAGAAGATTTCCCCTGAACTACCATCTGTGCCAATCTTCCTCTCTTTTGTATGTGGTTGCCGCCACAGCATGGTCACCAACGAGTGGTGTAGGTCCTCACCCGAACCAAACCCAGGCCACCAAAGCGGGGTGCGCTGTACTTAACCACTAGGCCATGGGGCCGGCCGCCGTAATTTATTTTTTAAACACATTTAACTCTCACAGCAACCCTAATAGCGAGAGGTGCCGTTATTGGTTCCATTATACAGATTAGAAAACTGAGGTTGAGATTATGTCACCTGTGCTAAGTCTCACAGCTGGTAAGGGGGCAGGCAAGACGCAAGCTCAAGTAGTAAGATTAGTGTGGCCACAGTTTCCACCCAGATCTGAATGCTTTGCCACTGTCCACTGCTGCCGCTTTGAAATGGGAATGGCCTCCATCTTGTTTCCAGGTGGCAGTGGACCCATTTCTTCCTGTTTAGCATCTCGTGTCTTTATTTTTAAAAGGCCTTGGGCATATAATAAAGTTTATTTTTATGACTGCTTTGTTTTATTTCCAAGGAGACTTCTACATGTGCTGGATGAATATAAGGCTGTCTCTTGTCTAACCAGATAAGAAAGGAATCAATCAGAGATTATGTTTCTGATAGTGACTTCCACCCTTGAAGGCGGTGGTTAATTATTTCTTTCTAGTGGGGTTGTTGGAAGATTCGAGCTGAAAGCTTGCTGGGGCAATTCCTTAAGTGTGGTTGTGATGGGATTTCGTTGAATACAGGCAGCATTTTGTCCTATGAAGGTATGTTACAATATCTGTTATTATGACATAAGTAATCTGAGAAGAGAGATCTACACACCCGAAGTGAACAGTTGTTTCCAAGTGACCCAAAGCTTGAGATAACCTAATTCCAGGCTTCAGTGCTTCCCTATTTCATTAATTTATTTGCATATCAAAAATGTTTAAGGGAAAATGAAATTATCTATTATAGGGCCAGAAAAAATTATATGGTTTCTGGATTCAGTGGAATGAATGCTCAATTGGAAGCTCCAAAACATTCCTTCAAATTCGTGCTTTGCCTTTAAGTAGCTGATGTTCTTGGGAAAAAATCTGTGTCCTCTTTTATAAAAGAAAAGTTCTTGAGTTAGATGCTCCCTGTCCTTTCCAACATCTATTCTAGTATTTCCTTTTCACTGATACTCAGTGTACAGTAAATATATCTGTTGCTGTCTCTCTCTTTCTTTTTTTTGGGAATCTCATATGTCTATAGACCTTTCAAGAGTAAATGAGAATTTCAGTTTCCAGATGGTTTCCTCTAATGGTTTTTGAGGAACATACATCTGAAAATCAGGACTGAGTATTGGGCAGGAAGTGAACCATACAACAGTCTAACTGCCATATGGAGACTATCATTTGTCATAACCATTTAATACATCATCCATGAGCTACCATAACTTTTATATTCATAACTTTATTGAATTAAATATTAAATTATTGGCCTATGTCTAAATATGCACCATTTTTAAAAATAAGATTATGATCTTTTTGAAATGATCTCTGCTTTTGAAACATATTTTATTATGGTATCATAAACCCATAATCCATTAGCAAACATATTTAAACAAAAAAGTCTTTCAGCCTTCAAAATATATTATCAAAGTTTATGTCCTTAAACATTATTCTCCTGAATTCTTTTTTCATAACTTCTCATGATGAGTCCAGGTTAGCATAACAGGAGAACCACAGCTAAATGCACGAGGCTTACAAAATTTCTGGCAAATTTTTTTCCAGGGTGTTTTCCAGTAGAACCCAACTTCCCCACCCACAATTTATTCCTAGTAAAGTGTCGGTGAAACTAAAATAGATACAAGGCTTATTTCTGAGTCTTATGGCTGGCTGAACAACATAAGTGGGCAGTTATTGATTAGCTGTCTAAACTGATTGACACTAATTTGAATAAGCTGGGAACTTTCTCCCTTATTTCAGCCAGTTGTTCATGAGTACAAGACTTTATTCCTCCATCAAGGCTAATAGCATGACTAGCTGACTTTTTCTAAAGGCTTTCCATGGTCAGAGAAACAAATTATTATGAAAGCCCAGAAGCTGAATTGTGATTTTATAAAGAAGCTTTTGGTTTTTTAATGTTTGATTTGCTGTTTGACTACTTTCCAGATAATTAAAATGTTCTACTTCCAAGCCCCTAATATGAACTAAAGGACCTCTGAGCATTTCACCTTAAGTAATGTGGATCCTTGTTAGTTATGAGATTGTGTTTACTGGTGCTGTGTAACTATAGCTGGCAAGTGAGCAAATTAACTCAAAACAAGTCTAAAAGCTGTACTGGAAGAATGTAGCTTGCATTTGTGACTCCGACTTGATAAGAAAAATATATATATAACAAATACATGTATTTTAAAGGCATACCTCTTCCCTCTACACAATAATTTTGGACGATGTCTTTGACAGCTAAAATAGGATGATAAATGAGAGGTCCAAATACAGACAGTAGTTAAATCAACCAGCTTAATGACTCTCCCTCTTCCCATTGCCACCTCTGCTCCTTATTTTAATCACTGGATCATGGACCAAAAGTTGGAATGAGGGCTCCTATTGCAAATTGTAGCATCAAAAATTAATATCAGTTAGCTTGATCTTGAGGGGATAAATCTCTATAATAAAAGAATAAATAATTAGAAACGTGCTGAGTAGTTTTCATCTTTCTCCCTTCTGGGAATCTAGCATTGAAACGAGATGATTAGATTCCAATTTGTCCTCCTACAAATGCAACTAATTTGGTTGTATTTTTGCATACTTCTGAAAGGAGACCATGCTAGCTAATATATTTGCCCATATATGATTAGCAATGAAGAGGCCCATTTTCATTTCATCCTTGCAAAGAAACATGCCTTGCCAAGTGTTCACACTTGCAACTATGTTTTCTAATTCTTCATTTTCTTCTCTAATTACCTTGATTGTGGGGTGAATTCTCCAAGCTGTAGCGGAAAGGAAATCATTGTCTTTTTATCGCCTCCCTGGGGATTTCATTCCACTTGTTTACTGATGTGTGTGGCTGACTGACTAAAGTGATTCCTAATTAGAATATATGAAATAATCATTGGTCTATCTGGAGTCATAATTAATGCATTAGGAAAAATTTACTGAGTGTCAAGAAGGTGGATATTAGCATAGATGAGCTTATTTTATCTGCTTTGAAACACAGAGGAAAACTTTTAGATACAGTGTTTACTAAATAAATTGATAATGATCATTATTTAGCATTTTCCTGGGCTTGGGGAAAAAAAGAACCCTACTAAGAGAATTTTGCCTTTGCCTGGGAAGGTGAATGAAATTTTTTGATTGCTTTAAGCATATATTTCTGGATAGGAGATAGTAAAGGTTTGAAGCTAAGGACACAGAAAGCTCAAGGGCCTCAAGGAAAAAGCTGGCTGCTGCCAAGGGGCACACAAGATGTCCTTGGCTTGGAGAATTCGCCATGGTCCACAGGCTGGCCTTCAGCCTTGGCAGCTCAGAGACACAATTTTGTTAGCATATTGAGAACATGTCTGTCTTTTTGGAATAAATTCCCACAAATCAAGCTCAGGGTGAGTGATGTAAAACGCAAAGGCTATCTTATCGATTTACCATGAGAAATATAACTGTCAAAAAGCTGGGCACGTTTGCATCAGTATGGCCAGTTCAGTTTCCAACTAAGCAAATCTTCATGGGAAGCCAAATTACAACCTTAGCTTGCCTGCTAAGCATGGTAGACGGTCAGGTCAGTGAACGAGTTATACTGTTTTGTGTTCAGTAGCACCAGGCATAACTTCCAACGTCTTCATGAAACCCTCTCCACAACAGAGATCAGTTTGCCACAGGGACTGGCATATTGGGGGTTTGTATCAACACACTCC